AGTGCTTTCTCAACTGCTCGGACCAGATCGTTTGCTACTAGTCCAAGATCTACGAATGGGATCACTCTGAACACTACAGAAACAAAAGCACCTCATGAGTTTATAATCACATTAGAGATACCAAGTGAGCCGGAAACTTCGACATTCAAAACAATGGCTAATACGGTACGAAAGGATGAAAGGCGTGCAAAAAGTACGCCAGCAACAACAAAAAGTACGCCAACAACAACAACAAGCACTAAGCCCTATCTGCCTAGCCATCCAGCCTGGTGGTTCAACCGTTTTCCTGCTGGTTCTAACCGTAACTCCCGTCGACGTCTACCATACCATCGACGGAGGCATCATAGGCTACAAGACCTCCTTCGTCGGCAGCAATGGTTTCCGACTACTGCAACTGCGAACAAACGATGAAACGCGTGGCAAAACTGAATGAAATGTGTTGCAATCTGTAATCAAATCAACCCAATCAACAACACCATTCAGAGATAAATGAAGTGTGTCTATATCCCGGTCAACTCCGTCGCCTTGACCACAACGTACATATACACCAGTTAGCCGATTTCTCTTCGAACGACTGCCCAACGTAGTATGTGGAGTGAATTCATGAGAAAACTTCAACAAGTGCTTAGAGCTAAAGGTACTTCGATCAACCATTATTATGTTTAAGTTGTCCTCAATTGCGTCGTCGATATTTTCCACTCATGTAACTCAAGCACTGATTCCCGTTCATCCAATGTTCACGTAACCTTTCTTGTTTGCTCTTTGAAGTGATTTCGTTTGATTTTTTCGCAGTTGACACAAATGTTGAGGTAATGCAGCACATTTCCACACTTCTCGATGATAAGGCTGTATTAATCGTCTTTCATTATTTCGTTGCGTTCACAAATGACAACAGTGGATTTATTGAAACAATCTGTCATTATTTCATTCATTCATTGATTTTTTATATGAAATGTTTGATCAAACAGAAATTGATTTCGATTGCCGTTTTTTAAAATATGAAATGTTCAGTCTTGAAAAACGTTTATAAACAATCAATTATAATAATTTTCGTCCAATAAGTCGTCAATAAATTTCAGTCTTCAATAATTACAACGCACACCATAGTAGTTCACTAGATCATTTCGACAGAATCGTTCCTTTACTTTTCCTGAAACAAACACATTGTATGAGCAGTACTGTTTCGGCTCTCATTTTCTAAATTCGATTTAGTTTTGCTGACCATCGAATGATATTCCGGGGAGGTTCTTTAATTGAGAGTTCAGGCATAGTTCATTTCACCATCCTCAAGCGACCTCCTTTCAGCACACAATGCCGGAAGAATGATGTGATTTCAATGGAAAGCAGAACTCAGAAATTTTTGAAGTTATCCTCAGAGACTATAAGCTGCATGCATGTGAACGAAGCATTACAGCCAAACGATTGAAGAAGCAACAGACTAACACAATGAATCTGTATAATCTTCTCACTCAGTAGTGCATTAACTTTTTGGCACGAGTGCACTAAGCAGTTCAATCGGAAATGGAAATATTATCGTTGAATTCTTCTCGGCGCTGAAACGACAACTGATTATATTCAATTTCATCAAATAAGCAAATGCTTCCATTTGGTAGATTTTGATCAGATATAAATACGCACATGAACATTAAAAAAATCATTGAAAAATAACAATGAAAGAAATGAAAGAGTTGAAAATTTATTCGGAGGTAAGCCTCGAAGGCACATGGAATGTGATTGTAAGTATGAGCGGATACGAATTCGAGAAAAATGCTGCTCCATTTTAAAAATAGAATTAGATTTCAACAGCAATTCACCTGATAGTATTCAGCGTTTGTAAATAACGTAGTTGAAGAGCTGAAGGCGATTTGTTGATTAAGTTAGCCGCTTCGCACAGCGCACGAGAGGCCTGTTGCTCGCCTTCGGCTGCGATCACCTTCAAATGATCT